AGCTGGATGGAAGGGAGGCTTTGGCAGCAAAGGAGAGGGAGAACTCCTCTGCTGCCTTAGAGGCTGCGACCATGCTGAAGGGCGAACTGCTAAAGGCCCAAGGCGAGGTGGGTATCTTAAGGGCCGAGGTGGATGCCAAGGCCGAGCTTTTGAAGAAGGAGGGTGAAAAGCACAAGGCCCACCTCCGAGCAGCCCATGCGATTACCAAGGGGCTGGAGAAGGAGAAATTCTAACTCTTGAAGGAGAAGGACGATCTCGCTCAGGTCTTTGAGGAGAAAAATGCCTCAATAGGGTGCCTCACAGTCGAGCTTAAGGACCTGAAGGAGCGCCTAACCAATGGATCTCTGCTGGAGGAGGCGTTCAGGCAACACCCGGACATTGATGGGTTTGCCAAGGATTTCAGCGACGCCAGCTTCAAGTTCCTGATGAAGGGCATTGCTGTCGACATGCCCCACCTTCAGATCGACCTCAGCGATCTCAAGAAGAAATATTCTGAGAAGTGGGCTTCTCGGCCTAATGGGACTCCTGGCCCCAATCGCTGGTGGACAAGTACGTCAGGGAGCTGGACTTTGACTACTCCGACGTGGAAGAAGAGGATGATCCTAGCCAAGAGCCCAATGAGATCGGCACGACGCAAGAGGAGGTTCCTTCCCAGCAGAACGGATCCTAGGAGGTTAATCTTCTAGGCTCCCAGGGAGAGCTGTCCTCCCACCTCTGAAGTAGCTGAGGCTCTCTTTTCTTCTATGTTTATATATATTTTTTCTTGCAAGTTTTTGGGCAGAGCTGCAAGGTATATAAGCCTTGGCTCTATCCTTTTTAATCAATGAAACTTCCATTGCTCCAATTCTGTCTGTTCTTCTGCTATTTCTTTTAAGTTTTTTTAATTTTGCAACTTGAAACTTACAAATGAATAAATTCATCTCGCATTTCTAACCCATAACTTTTTGTGAGTTTAAAGGCTTGTAAGATAACTCTTTTCACATCGCACCTCTTTCCTCGAACTTGGAAGTCAGAAAGATAAAATAAAGCAGCTTGAACTTTTTTACATCGCACCTTTAACTTGAGCGTTCCAAGGTTTGAATTTTAAGTTCATGATTAATCCTCACCTCGAAACCGTAGGTTTAGAGGATTGAATTTTTTGAACCTTTGACATCGCACCTTTAACTTAAGCGTTCAAAGGATTGAATTTTGGATTGTAATTGATTTTGACATCACACCTCGAACCCGTGGGTTCTGAGGTTGTCGATTTTAAGCCTTGCGGGAGTCTGTGGCCCCCATTTAATTCCTAATCGAACTCGGAGTTATGAAATTAAATAACCCCATTTATTGAAAGTTTCGCCCCCTTGAAAATTTTTACAAGCCCATTTTGGAACTATTTTGACATTTCAGGGGTAATAGTGCTTCAGGTGCTCTGCGTTCCATGGATGCGCAAGCACTCTTCCCTCCAGGTCGGCAAGCATATAAGTTCCGGGTCGGACTATACCTTTTACTTTGAATGGTCCCTCCCAACTTGGGTCAAGGGTGCCGACATGACTCTAAATTTTCCTTAAGACCAAATGCCCGACTTGGAAACTTCGAGGTCGCACTCGAGCATTGTAATGTCTGGCCATTCTATTCTGATACTCTGCTAAGCGCAGCTGAGCCATTTCTCTTTTCTCTTCCAATAAGTCTAGGTTAAGGAGTAGCTCTTCCTCGTTCCTCGTTGGCTCGTACTGCTCTACCCTGTCTGTTGGTATGCCGATCTCGACTGGTACAACAGCTTCAGAACCAAAGGCTAGTGAGAACGGAGTTGCGCCAGTTGACTCCCTTGGAGTGGTTTGATACGACCACAGAACTTCAGGTAGCTCCTCGGCCCATCTTCCCTTTCTGGAGTCCAACCCTAGCTTGAGCCCTCGCTTTATGATCTTGTTTACTGCTTCAACTTGTCCATTCGCTTTTGGATGCGCAGGGGACGAACTAAGGTGGCTTATACCAAGTTTTCTGCAAAAATCCTTGAACTTTGCATTGTCAAATTGTTTTCCGTTGTCCGTCACAATAGCATTGGGTATGCCAAA